ATTCTCAGTAGTAGCACGGAGTCTGGAATTGTGCCCGGTATATGGCAATAGGCTCACCCCCTATTACATGGGACTCATAACATAAATAGTGAAAAGTGGGTGTTACATTGTACAGTGGCATAATGTACACCTCTGCCTACCCCTTCGGGGATAAAAGGCGTGATGTTATGTGTGTCTACTACATGCATATGAATATACATAACATATGATATATCAAAATAACATTTTTTATAGTTTTTATCTGTCTGCTTGTACTGGCTAATTAATCTCTAGAATGGCTAGACTTTATTGGCAGGTAGCTTATAGTACTAAGGAGTAACATGGGCTACTTTAATTTTGGAAAATTGAAACAAAAAAGCTTAGTTCTAACATTCATATTCGACGCGGACAAAGTCGCGGGGAACAGCTAGTACTTCAATAAGATAGATTCAATTAACTCGTCGAGTACCGTCATTATAGACACAATTATAGAACAATAGGTTGCGGTCACCGGTGACCGCTTGGTGTTTGACAGTTTAAAATTCAATTTTAAGTACCTAAAGTTCTTTTTTTAATGTTGCCCCAAATTCATTTTCTTCTGTCTCGTGGGTGCGTTGACAAACATACAATATCACATACACATGACACAAAGTGTTGTTCCGTGCGGGAATCGGACCCGTGACAGTTTGCGCGGCAGCCAGTTGCCCAGCCACCGTGCCAACCGTGCAGTTATAGCTTAACTCGTCGAGTACCGGTTTTGTAGACACAATTATAGAACAATAGGTTGCGGTCACCGGTGACCGCTTGGTGTTTGACAGTTTAAACACTGTTTTTATTGAAATCTTTTGTTAGCTTTAATCCTCTCATTTTAGGAAGTTGCATACAAATACTACTATTATTATCAAATATACACTCTATCATTTGACAGTTAAAGTTGACTTTAGCTTAACTAATCAATACCCACATGGTCAGCGGTGTCAGCTCTCCACAAAATCCATTATAGACCTTATTTTCAATCTTTAGAGACTACTCTTGTATGGGCAAACTTTGGGGATTTTCAGTATAATATATCAACATATTAAACTTAATATAAGTTCATATTTTGTATTGTTATCATACCTCCTAGACAAAATTAATTATCATAATTTATTCAAACAAAAGTAGTCTTTAAAACACGGCAAATAAGATTCGTTATAGCTTATCAATCTAAGAGAGGAAGTACAACATAATTTTTTTAAATTTTTTAGTCGACTATCAACCAATTTGTAGATTTCTCACAATGTCCAGTATCAGGGCATAATCTGTTAAACGTAGTGCTGCTTTCGAAACCCAAAATTTCCCGTTCCTCCTGAATTCTGTACGTAAACGTACTTTCATGGGTTCCGATGAAGTACGCAGCATGAGATGAGATGATCTGATCTATTATAGCTATCCCACCATCTCCGTACTCCTCAATTATCGAGGGACTTGGTAAGAAAAAGTGGGTCTCGTAACCGTAGTCAGTTAAAGCCTTTTCCAACTTATTTATTTCGGACATTGATGCATCTGTTGCTATGAAAACTTTATTCATATCGGGTAATTTCTTAAACGCTTTACGTATCTGTTTAGCGGTACCAGCTATTGACGGTACTTGATTACCTCGGCTGCGAGCAAAGTCCTGTCTTCGCCAATGAACACTGAGGTATGTAGCACATCTCTCCGTTTTACACTTTAAATATTCTGCAATGTAATCTTTGGCTATATGAATGAGGTTTTTATTAAATTTCATGCTTTTACGGCAATCCCAGTAAGATTTTGTGCCATAGGTGTCGTGTAAAGGTATTTCGCCATGTGTAAACATTATTTTACTTGCGTGTGGATGTAAAGCTATTAATTCCCATAGTTGTGACACTTTCCCTTGGAATTGAACACATAGAACCTCTTTGGCTGTGATATTGTTGTACCCCCAGTACAAGCCATCGTATTCACATTCGCCTTTGACGTGCCATTTTTCATTAAAAACTCCGTTTTCAAATGGATTCTCATAATTCTCCAATATGTACAAAACATCGATTTCTAATTCCTTTTTCTTAGTTTTTGAGAATATTTCATGCATTTCGACAACTGGAGAGTACGATTTTAATGATTTTATATCGAAATATTTGTTCCAAGGTGTTGGTTGGCGGCGTCCCGACCTCCAATGATAGAGGTTATACCAAGGAGGTAGAACTAGCTCCCAGTTGTCTTTACCTTGTTTCTGAGCCTCAGCTAACATTATAGCGAACCTCATATACACGTCTCTTCGTAAATTGAAGCCTTCAGGAGGATTAACATCGTAGAATATGTGTTTTTTACCATAGGATACTTCATCATTGTTCCCGCAAGATTTTGTTGTTTTATCACAGTATTGCGCACTCGTGTACTCTTCAGCAGCTACAAGAACTAAACTACTGACTATTACACTTAAAATTAACATTTTAAAGCTTATAGAAAATAAAAAATGCGTAGAAATGTATGATCAAAATATTATGATTTCAGATTTTGACTTTGCTCATTTGACATTTCACGATAGGGATGTGCAAATCACATTAGAGTGGTAGATACCTAATTTAGTACATTTTAATACAAATCACATCGTATTATAGAGACCATCACTTCCGCTTATAGATTGAATGAAGCCGCAATATACTAAATATGTGAATGTGACGCAAATAAATAAATACAATGAAGCAATAATAACTCAATAGTACTTATTTTTTAGGTACTTAATAAAACTCCGACCTAAGGTACCAACTACTCGCTATGTTTTAGGCGACTGACAGTTGTACTTCCCTAGACGTCAACTCCAGAAAATATGTCAGTGTAAAAAGTAAAATTGACATTTGTAGAAAAACATTGGATCGTGTTAGTTTTTAAGGTTATAAAAATGTTTAGAAGATTAAGAATAAAATATTTCACATCTATCTACGCTAATTACACAACTAGAGTAGCTGTAGACCCTACTTTGAAAGATAGTTTTGAAGCAAAAGTGTTCAAACCTCGCAAACATCCGGGGACAAATCGAATCAAACTTGCTGCTATACCACCGGATATTCAGAAGGCTATTAAACTAATTCTGGACGATGCAGGAGCTAAAGCTTACTACCAGGAGAGCATAAAACTTAGCAACTACATTCGCTCACGTCATTTACCGCCAGAAGACGGCGAAATCGACGAAAAAGCACAAAAATTACGCAACGCTATATCCAAACAAGTTTACTCTGGTATTGATCGAGAATTATCGCCAGAAGAGCTAGAAGTGTATGAAAAAAAGATACAGAATAAGATTTTTGGTGTTTTAAAGAAGAATGTGTATCGGTGGGGTAATATAGCATATGACAAACCAACCTCCTTGCAGTATTTAATGAGTAGAGCTGCCCCAGAGTACGCAGTCTTATTACGAATCTTAGATGAGATAAAAAAGTTCAATCCGGACTATAAACCTCGAAGTTTCTTCGACTTTGGCTCCGGAGTAGGCACTGGCACTTGGGCCGTCAACCATTTCTGGAAAAATGAGATATTCGAATACTTCTGCGTTGATACATCCTCAACAATGCACGATTTGGCCCGTCTCATCCTCTGCCATGGCAAAGACAACTTAGAAATGCCTCTAAAAGGATTCTTCCAAAGACAATTCCTGCCAGCTTCATCAGATCTGAAATACAGCATCGTTTTGTCTGCATACTCACTATTTGAATTACCGAGCCTTCAATCTAGATTAGAAACAATTCAAAAACTGTGGAATAAAACTGAAGACTATCTTATAATTGTCGAACATGGTTCAAATGCAGGTTTCCAAATAGTAAATGAAGCTAGAGAATTCGTACTCAACTTAAAAGGAAAGAAAGGAAAAGAAGGTTATGCGTTCTCTCCGTGTCCGAATGACAACATCTGCCCACGGTACTTAGAACATGAAACTCCGTGTAACTTCCTAATGAAGTATGAATCATTACCGTATGCTGGCAAAGCGGAAGTCTTCGCAGATTTGTTTTCATACGTCATACTGAAGAAAGGAGTTCGTCCTCCTGATGATCCGCAATGGCCAAGGATTGTGCGAGCTCCTATAGTACGGTCGAAGCATACGATTTGTAAGCTGTGTACGGCGCAGGGAGAGTTGAAGGAAGTTATATTTTCTAAAGCGAAGTATGATCAGACTACATATAGATGTGCTAGATCTTGCAATTGGGGGGATTTGTTGCCAGTTAAATAAATAAGTTAAAAGTTATTTGGATTTTTATTTCTTTTTTTATATTGCCTCATCCTAGTGAGTCAATAATATTGAATCAATTTTCTAAATCTTCGGTGAATAGTAGATTGTAAATCGCACAAAAATACATAATTCGAATCGAACGCGTAAGACGTTGTCCAACCACCGCGTCACTGTGCAGTCAAACACACGTATTTCAGGGGGCTTAGCCTCTGAAATACTCTGTAATCTAAGGCCTTAGTACGAGTTTCATTTACGTATAAAGTAATCGTATCGAGTACGCGTTCGACGCTCTGATTGGTTGGTTATTTGGCGCCGGCCAATCAGATTCAGTTTCGAATACTTTAAACGTAAATGAAACTCGTACTAAGGCCTCTGTTTGTTGTACGTGTTGTACGTGTGTTCTGATTGGTCGCTTCATTGGCACCGGCCAATCACAGCGCCGAACGCGTACGCGTTACGATTTCTTTAAACGTAAAAGAAACTCTTACTAAGGCCTCAGTTTGTATTACCTAGGTACCTATGTGTTATTCCTTTCCTTATCCTTACTATCCTTACTAATATTATAAATCGGAAAGTGAGTTTGTTTGTTTGTTCTGCTTTCACGCCGTAACTACTAAACCGATTACTTTGATTTTTTTGCAGACGTAAAGTTAGAAGTCCGGATTAAATAATAGGGTACTTTTTATCCCGGAAAAAAATTATATTTCCGAGGGAAAACAAAAGTATTGGTATAGATGGCGCTGTGTGTATTGATATATGTCACATAGGCTACTTTTTATCCTTTTGTGACGAGAGCGAAGCCGCGGGTAAAAGCTAGTAACTATTTCATAATTCTATGATTCTAAGATCTGTCAATTTCATTCAGATGTCATTTTTGTGTATATTCACACTTAACCACATTTTACAAGCTGGCATAATCTCTGCTAACAGGTTGGAGATCGCAGTATAAAAGGTTCAGGTTTATCAGAGAGCGCTACTGCCAGTGCCGGATTAAGCCAGCGCGGGGCCTGTAGCAAATTCTGTCTAGGGGCCCTTGGTTTGCTATCGGTTCTCATTTGGGCATTGACTAAATTTGGTCCTTTCTTTTTTCTGGCGTCAGTCGATGATTTATGGAAAATATTGTCTAGAATGACATTACAAACGAAATTGTCCCCATATATATGAAAGTGAGCCCATAGGGCTCATGTATGGAAATCTCAGTCTGGATCGAGTTATGAGCGTTGAAAGGAGCTGAAGTCAAACATTTTACTTTGGTTTTTTTATTCAAATCTTATATCTTATACTATTATAATAAAGCGGAAGGGATTGTTTGTTTGTTTGAACGCGCTAATCTCCGTAACTACAAGTCTGATTTGAATAATTCTTTTTGTGTTGGATAGTGCATTTATCGAGGATGGC